CCCATCAACCACCACCCGCGCCTGTGCCTGCCACCCGCGCCGCCATGTCGTTGTCGATGCAAATGAACTGCAGAGCCGCGCCGACGCCCGCCATCCTCCTCCTCCTCCTCACGCACGCTCATGACACCTCCGCGTTGCGGCTCGCGGTCCGTCCCAAGCTGTGGCTCCTCGATCGCGACGGCTGCATTAACGCCGACGTCGGCTCTCCTGGCGTTGTGCGTCGCGAGGACCTGCATCTGATCCCGGGCAGCGCCGGCGCCATCACACGCCTAAGATTGTTTGCGCCGGTGGCGGTTGTGACGAACCAGAGCGCGAGGGGCAAAGGCCTGCTCAGCGCCGCCGGGCTCGACGAGATCCACGAGCGCTTGCGGCACCTCATCGCCTCGGCGGCCCGCGGCGGACTCGCCTCCGAGGACGGCTCTCGCTGGGACGGCCTCTACGTATGCGAGGATGCACTTCCGAGCAGCCGCAAGAAACCGGCGGCCGGAATGCTGCTCGAGGCGCAGCGACGGTCAAGCGTGTGCCGAGCGAGGCTCCGGACCCCTTCTCTGACCCGTCTGGGTCTTTGCAGGCGCTGCACGACTTTACGTGCGAGCCGAGCGAGGCAGTGATGGTCGGCGACTCGTGGTCCGACGTGGTCGCGGCGCGGCGGGCGGGCTGCCCTCTCCCCCTCCTGCTCAGGCCCCTTCTCGGACCCTTCTCGGACCCGTCTCTGCAGGCGAGGCGGGCGGGCTGTGTGCCCGTCCTCCTGGCGACAGGTCACGGGCAGGCGCTGGCAGCCGCACTCCGCCGCCAGGGCACGCGGCTGCCGGCCTCGCTGACGGCGGCGGCGCTGTCGGAGGTAGATCCTCCTCTCCCGCCACCACCGCCACCACCACCAACAACAACAAAAACACCACCGCCACCACCACCGCCACCACCAGCACTACCACCACAGACGCAACACCACCAGCAGCAGCACCACCGCCGCTGCCTCCACCACCACCACCACCACCACCAACCCACCAACACCAACACTAACACATCACCACCACCACCACCACCGCCGCCGCCGCCGCCTACTCCACCACCACCACCGCCGCCGCCGCCGCCGCCGCCTCCTCCTCCACCACCACCAGAGCGATCGTGGAGAGGGTCGGAGCCTCGGGAGGTGTTCTGACGCCTCGTTTGCCTGTGCCCTGCCCCCAGCTGCCTGCCCTCCTGCTAGGAGCGCGCATTGGCGCAGTGGCTCGAAAGCCGGGGGGAGGCGGAGGCGCCCGCGCGACTGCGCAAGGCTCGTCACTTCTTCCCCTCTCCTGGCTGGCGAGCCCCACACCCCGCACTCCCTAGGCGGCGCTGGTCCGCGAGGCTCTCTGCGGCGGGCCTGTCAGCGTGTACGAGACTCTCGCGCAGGCGGCAGACGCACTCCTCGCCTAAGGAGCAATGAATCGTTGACTCATCCGCTCCTACTGAGTGGAACAGGGTCCATTCTTCATTAGGCGGCAGACGCACTCCTCGCACAGGCGAACCGTTGCCACTGCCACTACTGCTGCCGCTGCCACTACTGCTGCCGCTGCCACTACTGCTGCCGCTGCCACTAATGCTGCCGCTGCCACTACTGCTGCCACCGCCACTGCTGCTGCCACTGCCACTCCTCTCCTCCTCCTCTCGCCTCCTCCCCCCTCCTTTCCCCTCCGCCCCCCCTCCTTTGCCCTCCTTTCACCCCCCCCCCCCCCCCTTCACGCCTTCTCTCACAGGCGAGAGAGCTGCCCTCGCAGCAGCGCAGGGGGGAGGCTGCTGCACGAGGGCTGGCCGCCCCGACTCTCCGCCGCGCAACGCCGCCCGC